AAGGGAGGAAGATTTGTTTATGTGCATTTCCTGGCACTATTTAGAGGGCATTATGTATGATCCCTCCAAGATATGAGATAGCATTCTTGCTTCAGTGTTTCAAACCAAAGATGGAGGTTGTACCTCTATATATATATATATATATATATATATAATCTATATATATCAGGGCATGACAATTGTCACGGCCGCCCAGGCCCCACGTGTATCAGTGGAACTGATCAATGGGCCCTATTATCTTAAGGGGCCCGATCAGCGCTGTAATAGCGCGACCGGGCCCCTTTAAAAAAAAAATGCAGCCGGAAGCAAGTGCTGCAGGGTGGAAGTGACGTCCGGTCACTTCCTCCCACTTTACTCCGCGGAAGGAGGACGCAGCCGACGCCCATCATCTCCAGCCACCCTCCTGCGACGAAATGGTAAGGAAGAGAGGAGGGTGGCTGAAAATGAGGTGTATATATGCCAGTGTATGTGTGTATGTATGCCAGTGCATGTGTGTATGCCAGTGTATGTGTGTATGTATGCCAGTGTATGTGTGTATGCCAGTGTATGTGTGTATGTATGCCAGTGCATGTGTGTATGCCAGTGCATGTGTGTATGTATGCCAGTGTATGCATGACAGTGTATGTGTGTATTATGCCAGTGCATGTATGCCAGTGTATGTGTGTATGTATGCCAGTGCATGTGTGTATGCCAGTGTGTGTATGCCAGTGTATGTATGCCAGTGCATGTGTATGTATGCCAGTGTATGTATGCCAGTGTATGTATGCCAGTGCATGTGTGTGCCAATGTATATATGCCAGTGTATGTGTGTATGTATGCCAGTGCATGTGTGTATGTATGCCAGTGTGTGTGCATGTGTGTATGCCAGTGTATGTGTGTATGTATGCCAGTGTATGTGTGTATGTATGCCAGTGCATGTATGCCTGTGTATGTGTGCATGTATGCCAGTGTATGTGTGCATGTATGCCTGTGTATGTGTGCATGTATGCCAGTGTATGTGTGTGTGTATGCTAGTGTATGTATGCCAGTGTATGTGTGTATGCCAGTGTATGTGTGTGTGTATGCCAGTGCACGTGTGTATGTATGCCAGTGCATGTATACCTGTGTATGTGTGCATGTATGCCAGTGTATGTGTGTATGCTAGTGTATGTATGCCAGTGTATGTGTGTATGACAGTGTATGTGTGTGTGTATGCCAGTGCATGTGTGTGTGTATGCCAGTGCATGTGTGTGTGTATGCCAGTGCATGTGTGTATGTATGTATGCCTGTCAGTATGTATGTATGTATATATCAGTATGTATATGTATGTTTGTCAGTAGGTATGTCTGCATGTATATGTGTGTGTGTGTCTGTTTCCGTATTTGTATCTGTTAGTGTGTGTGTATTCCTGTGGGCGGGATTTGGAGGCGGGCTTGAAGGGGGGCCCAGACCTTGAGCTGTGTTAGGGGCCCCAAAATTTCTGATGGCGGCCCTGTATATATATATATAAGTGCCAACAAAATCTGTAGAGCTGTACAATGGGTGGACTAACAAACACGTAATTGTAACAAAATGAGTTTGACACACAGGAACAGAGGGGTTTAGGGCCATGCTCAAGTAGAAAGCTTATTAGTTCATGGGACCCCACATTTGTTGCCGTTTCTAAGTTCACTATTGTTGCTAACACACAACTGTAATTTTGCAGGAGATACAGCCAACCTATAAAAGAACAAACAAAATGACATAGTATAGCACTGCCTAGGATACAGAACACGATAGGAATCACAAACCACTAGGTGGGACAGGCATAAAAAATTTCAAGTCCTCTTATTGTGATGTCAAATCAGTATGGATCCTGATGTCACACTCAAAATAAAGTATACAAGAGATGGTGCAAAGCGTTCTGTATCCCATATAAAAAAAAAAAGAAATGGATTGGATTGCATTAAACTTGTATACAAAGATTTTTACCATAGCATACAGTAGATAAAGTCAACTAATCTTCTGGATAAACGTTCTGGCCATGCCCTAAACGTTTCAACACTCGGACTTCTTCAGGGACTTCCCATTAATTGATATTCAGAGTAAAGCATACAATAAAAACAAAAATAAAACTTTGGTGCAACGGAGAACAAGCATATAAACATATCCGGTTTCCATGCTGATCCCCTTTCCAATCACAATGGCTGCCAGCCGATCCACTTGGCGTCCTTTCTTGTCATGCTAATTGCTTAATGCTACACTTCCTGGAGACATTTTTATCCAATAATAAAAATAAGACAAATACCATTTTTGATATACATATTGTTAACAAGATGTTGGACTTAGCAGGTATCAAGTAGAAGAGGTCTACTGCTTATTTACATTACTGTCTATATTTACAATACCCTCCATGGAGATGGACTTAAGAAATACCCTTTGACATCCTTCACCTTGTCTAGCTTTGCTTTCATATGTACTATGATCCTACAAGTATTGCCCAAGGCCACATGGCATTTATTTATGCTTCCTTACAATACAATGGGCACTATATGTCTTTACATCTGGATTTTTGCATGTGTACGTGTATCCATATATCTAAAAAATAAAGGGCCTACAAGATAAAATGAAATATCTCGCATACCACCACCATAGCCAGATCAACCATAAGACAACCTAGGTCCCAGGAGAGAGAGAGCCAGGGTGCAATTAAGATACTTGAGCATGCTTGGCTCCATTAACCACCCCTGGTAAAGAGTAAAGTTGCATGGTAAAATGATAACCTGTCTAGGGCCCTGTAGGATCTTAATCCTTTTTTGAGAGGTATGGTGTACACACAGACTGTCTCTCCAGTAAAGTTCCAAAGGCAGAGTCCCCACTGTATATCACTGAAACTAGACTTGTTTCATCTCACATAGACTTTCGCAATATTCTAATTATAACAAGGCACAGGTTAATAAAGATATACCGTATATACTCGAGTATAAGACGAGTTTTTCAGCACATTTTTTGTGCTGAAAAACCCCCACTCATCTTATACTCGAGTCAATGTCTGTATTATGGCAACTTACATTGCCATAATACAGACCAGGACCGCCGGGCTCATTACAAGCCCGTCGGTCCTGTTGGGGGCTGGCAGCGAGCTGTAACTTACCTTTCCTGCAGCTCCCTTCTCCACTGTAAGTCTCGCGGCGTCAGAACCCGTGGCAACGCTCCGCGCGGCACTCAGACCGCGAGACTTACAGTGGAGGAGAAAGGAGCTGCAGGAAAGGTAAGTTACAGCTCGCTGCCAGCCCCCCTCCTACACAGCCCATGCCACTAGACCACCAGGGAATGAGACCCCCCTCCCTGGCCATGTATCAAGCAGGGAGGGGGGACAAAAAAATATAAATAAAAATTTAAATAATAATATAATAAAATAAAGAAATTAAAATAAAATAATATTTAAAAAAACTAATTTAATATTAAAATAATAATAAAAAAAAAATAATAAAAATACCTACCCCCCACCAAGGTTACACACTCTGCATCACATGTACATACACACACTGCACTCATACACACACACTGCATTCATACACACACACTGCATTATATATACACACACACTACACACACACACTGCATTTATACACACACACACACTGCATTCATTATATACACAAAATAAATATTAAATTAATGTAATTTTTTTGGGGATCTAATTTTATTTAGACATTTACCAGTAGCGGCTGCATTTCCCACCCTGGTTTTATACTCGAGTCAATAAGTTTTCCCAGTTTTTTTGGGTAAATTTAGGGGTCTCGACTTATATTCGGGTCGACTTATACTCGAGTATATACGGTAGGTCTTGAGAAAGGCACCTAGAGTGTCAAAACGTTGCTTTTTTGTTTTAATAGCTGAACAAACCAACATTATAAGTTTCTTTTTTATTTATAAAGGTGTAGGTTAATATTTAAAACATAAATTAAAAAATGATGATTAACAAGCATTTATATGTATTTGATAGTGCAGAACATTCATTTCCTCGTTCCTGTTTGTACAATTGTCAAGATTCAAAAAGGAAACTGATACATAGGCCCAAAATGCCTACCTGATTACTTGGCTGAAAAGCTGGCATTGTAAAAGTGAGTATTATTAAAATCTCAGTACATTACACCTTCCAAGTCCAAATACTGTTTTATAGATAATCAATTTAGCATACAGTGATGAAACAATGGCAGGTAAAATTAATTACTATGTATATAAACTGTTTCTTTGTACATAATATATATGGATTTAATAACAATGCATTTATAGCTTTATTGCTACCTAGGCATTAAATTAAAATTGTGAATTATAATGATTATGCCAAATATTCATATCCATATTTTGTGCATACAATTGCAGACATCTAGTGAGATGATCTATTGGGCAAGGATTCCTACTAGTTCTCTATTTCATCTGTACAATTTACTAAGTTATAATAATTAAAATGCTACTTTTGGACATAATATTCACCATCTTGTAGTAAATATTTAAGTATTTAACCATGTAATTGTCCCTCAAAGTTAAATCTTAGGTATCAGCATGAAAAATGGGAAAACATTTCTTTTTTTTTTCCCAGTCTGTTTCTCGTTATTTGAATTATTGACAAACAGTTTACAGACATCAAAACGAACACAAAAAAACCCACTCCCAGCGAGAGCTCTCGTCTTTGACATTTACCCTTAAATCATTGTAATTTTACTTTTGCTTTAACAAAATACATAATTTTCTATCCCACTTTTCACGTAGATTGGAATTTTTTTTAAAGCATTTACAATGATTTTCCATTTTAATTTGATATGACAGTTAAAAAGTGTTTTCGCGCTGGGCTCCGACGAACATGGCCGTCTAAGCGCTGTACTCCGTTCCACGACAGCACACAGAACGGAGCAACCCACTACTAACTTGCACGCACTGCCACCAATGGGTCGCACAAAGAGAGGTGACCTACCCCAGACCCCCAAACCTTCCTTTTCAGGGTCGCAAACGGGGCCGATAGCTCCCCGACATCCAAAATGGCGCCGACCTCGCCAGCATCCACATGCTCCACTGCCGACACCACTACACTGGCAGATATCGGAGCAGAATTAAAACGCATGGCAATGATGATGGTCACAAAGGATGACCTCACCCACCTGACAAACAACCTACACAAAGTAATTAAAGCTGAAGTGACCGGCCTGAAGGCTGAAATTAAAGCACAGGAACACCGCATACAGCAAGTAGAAAAGAGGGCACAGACCACTGAAGACCACTCTGCAGCCACAGACACGGCCCTTAAACGCCAAGGCACTCTCATACTGGCCATGAGGCGACAGCTGGAGGACCAGGACAACCGCAGTCGCCGCAACAATATCAGGGTAAGGGGGATACCTGAATCTCCAGAGGGGGAAAACATAGAGGAGATGCTCACCTCCCTATTCCGCATCATCTTAAGGGAGGACACACCAGCGCTTATTAAATATGACAGGGCACATATAGCACTCCGTCCCCGGCCCACGGAAGGGACCCCCAGGGATATAATATGCTGCCTACACTCCTTCGCCATCAAAGATCTGATCATGAGGAAAGCTAGGTCCAGGGCCCACTGGAACTACAGAGGCGCAGAAATATCCCTCTACAATGACCTATCACCTATGACCCTAGAAGCTAGAAGAGCCCTGAGACCGGTTACCACCATCCTGAGGGAGAGGAATATGCAATATAGATGGGGTTACCCATTTAGCATCACGGTCCGCTATAATAACGAATGGGTCTCCGCACGATGGCCAGAAGACATCCCTCAATTCCTACAACGCCTGAACCTGCCGCCAACCCCCGTCCCGAACTGGGTATTCATGCCGCTGGATCCAAGACCACAACAGCAGCGACAAGCAAGGCGAAGAAGATGGAATTCTCCGGGTGCAGCTCCGCGACACCGACCAGATCTAAACAACCCGGAAGAATAACCCACTACCTGACCAACCTGCACCGCACCCGTGGACCCCACAACTCCGAGACAACCCAGACACCTGGAGCCAACGCGGGAGAAGCGCCTGGATGCAAACCTGCACCCCAAGAATCAGGTACTTTGACATTGGGTAGCTAACACATTGACATGAGGGGGAAGATAAGGGAAGAAAAAAAAATACATAAACACGATCCAGATGCAACGACCCATACTGCACACACCCCGAAGAGATATCAAGTCCCTACTTTGACTACACGCAAACTACCCTCAAGGTACATCCCCCCCACTCGACACCAGCGACATCGAAAAGACGCAACAAACAGGCATAGTGCTGATAACACTACAAGCACACACAAATGGCATTAGTGATGACTATATAACAACTCTACTACAGTGGACGGACGCTACAACACCAAACGGAAACACACCCCTACACAACTAACAGACCATACTGACGATACACAACCTTTTTCAAGTGTCAACTTCACAACTAACACCGCATATACCACACAGGCACCATAGCCTAAACGGATACGGGCCCAGACACGCTACCCACCTCTCTCGGTGCGCACACTTGATACTACGGGGGTCGACTGGTACACCACCGGGGTATATCTCGGGGTGACCTCCGACCGACACCGTAGGCACACGAACTCCCTCTCCACGGAGAGGTCCACCTCCTTACATCACTACGACACGCACACCACACCTATCCTACTCTCCAACATCCAAATAAGAAACACACACCCCCGTCAAACGGACCAGGCTCGGAGTCTAACGTGAGCCTGAGCAGACACAACTCCCTTAGACCACACAGGAGCGGATACCAACGCCCCACGAACACTAGCCACCTCACACGCGACCACAGCCCGGCAACCCACTCGAACGTCCCACCCCCCCACCCCTGCGCTCCTGACCCGGCCGTCGCGTCTGCCTCGAGTCAACCACCAGACAGCGCAGAGGTACCGAACCGCATCAAAACCCAGGAATTAAGCTATGGGATCGGGCTTCCTCGGTCGACTCCCGCGTCCATAAGAGAGCGGGACACGGACGAGGGACCCCGGTACCCGACGAGACACTACCATTGCGCAGAGATACAGACAAGATGGCATATAGACCAGACCCGCTAAAAATCATCACGCAAAACTGCAGGGGATTGAATCTCCCAGAACGCAGAACTAATCTTTTGAGGGAACTTCAGAGAGAGAGGGTTGCAATAGCTCTTCTCCAAGAAACTCACTTTCGAGAAGGAGCGGCCCCGACACTCAAGAACAAACACTACCCCACTAACTACTACGGCAACCACCCTACAGCGAAAAAGGCAGGGGTCGCGATCCTGATAGCAGCTCTTCTACAATTCCAGGAACAGGATCGCCTTATAGACCACAACGGCAGATACGCCTTCGTCAAGGGGAATATCGCAGGACGATGTTACACGTTCGCGACAGTATACGTCCCCAACAACAACCAATCTAGATTCCTCAAGAACACACTGAAGGCACCAACAGACTTCACGGAAGGCACTTTGATCGCGGGAGGAGACTTCAATGTCACACTAGATCCTAAAGTAGACTCCTCAACGGGACACAGCAGCATCCCACAGAGAGAAATAAGAACCATACACCACACTCTGAAAACACTACGCCTGGGAGACTGCTGGCGAACACTGAACCCACTAGACAGAGAATACACTCACTATTCCACAATACACAAAAGATACTCCAGGATAGACTTCCTACTTCTGCAACAAGAAGCTCTAATAAGACTTAGGAGAGCATCCATACACGCTGCAACGTGGTCAGACCACGGACAAGTGTCGATGGACCTCGAATCTCCCCTCATAAGACCGACGAAAACGACGTGGAGACTCAACGACTCCCTTTTAACCGACCTCCCATTGAGGGCCCAAGTCACCGACACTCTACAGACATACTTCACCGAGAATGAGACGGGAGATGTGTCTGATATGACAGTATGGGAGGCACACAAAAGTGTACTCCGGGGCAAGCTTATCCAAATCGCGTCACAACGGAAAAGAGAGGCGGGCGCAATTATGTCAAACATTCTAGACCGAATCCGCTCCCTGGAAACACAACACAAACGTCAACAGGTGGAAGATACCTACAAAGAACTATTAGAGGAAAGAAGAAGACTACACACACTGCTACTCAAGAGACACCTGAGACAACTCCGTAGATCTAAAGGATTCTTCTACCTCCATGCAAACAAAGGGGGCAAACTCCTTGCACAAATGCTCAGGGGACAGCAACACCCCTCACAAGTCCACAAATTAAAAACACGCGACGGCACTACTACCCGGAGAAAATCGCCAAGGAATTTCTAACCTACTACTCCTCGCTCTACAATACACATTCACAAAGTGACGAAGAAAGCAGACGAATCACACAAGGCCGCATGGAATGCTTTCTAAGAGAACATCTCCACACGACGGTGACGGCCGAAGACGCAGAAATCATCGACCGCCCGATCACCGAAGACGACATTAAGACAGCTATCAAAACGACGAAGGCAGGACACGCACCCGGACCCGACGGACTTACGCTGGACTACTACAAACGCTTCCAAGATATACTAGCCCCCAAACTCACAAAGGCGCCCAATGCCATCACTGAGGGACATACATTCCACGCCGAATCATTATCGGCTACAATTACAGTAATCCCAAAACCAGGTAAGGACCCGGAAACCTGCGGCAGCTACAGACCCATCTCCCTATTAAACGTGGACACAAAACTCTTCACCAAAATATTAGCCACCCGACTTAGCAACCTAATGCCAACACTCGTGCACCCTGATCAAACGGGGTTCATACCGGAACGGGAGGCTCGAGATAGCACTCTGAGAGTTCTCGCTATACAACATCTGGCGAGACAACACGGAACACAACTCCTGCTACTCTCCACGGACGCCGAAAAGGCGTTTGACCGAGTTGACTGGGCATTCTTGAAAACGGCGATACATCTATTGGGGTTTAACGACAACATACAGAAATGGATCTGAGCGATATACAGCATCCCGACGGCAGCAGTGCGTGTTAACGGAGCCCTAACGGAGCCCTTCCCGATTCGAAATGGTATGAGGCAGGGTTGCCCCTTGTCCCCACTATTGTTCGCACTAATATTGGAACCCCTATCGGAGGCAATCCGACGAAATATTAACATTACGGGCTACACCTGTAAAACCGCCACACACAAAGTTGCCGCATACGCGGATGACATGTTGTTCTTCATTACACGTCCGAGACTCACCCTACCATGCCTAATGGAAGAATTTGAAAAATACGGACACCTCTCGGGCCTCAAACTTAACTTAAGCAAATGCGAACTGCTCAACATCACGGACCCACAGGAGGGAACACGGGGATATAGCCTCGACCTTCCCGTTCCGATGGTGCCATACCCAAATGAAATACCTGGGGATATGGGTGATGGCTGACCCCAGCGCCATCTACCAGAAAAACTTCCTCCCACTCCTCACACGCATTCAACAAGACCTCCGAACCTGGAATTATCCACACATCTCATGGTTCGGCCGCATAGCGGTCATCAAAATGAATATACTACCCAGACTACTATATTTATTCCATACGATCCCAGTGGCATTACCGACTACCTTTTTCGCAACACTGAAAACCGCATTCCTGACCTATGTCTGGAGAGGATGCAGACACCGACTAAGATATGAAATACTATGCAAGACCAGGAGTCAGGGCGGATTGGCACTCCCAGACCTACGCAAATACCACCAAGCAACAGCCCTACAATGGATACTGGAATGGCACACTAACCCGAGATGCAAACAATGGGTGGCCTTGGACAAAGAATCATGCAGCCCATCCATTTTTGCATCCCTATGGAATCAGAAAACGCCACGGCATAATGACCCCGGCGCACCCTCTCCGGCGAGTCATACCCTCCACATATGGTCAACAATGAGGAACGCAGCGATCATCTCCCCAACACCCAGCCCGATGACCACGCTAACACACAACCAAGCATTGGGGGGAGGACTACCGATCAAGGCCTGGGACTTTCTGCAGGGAAGGGACTTCATACCACTCCACAAAACGCTAACTGCCACTGGACTGACCCCCCTGGAACGCTTCCAGCCCCCATGCACAAATTCAGATACTCCCAGCTGACGCATTTCTACCACACCCTACCGAACAAACAAGAGGTACACAGAACCCTCACATGGTTTGAGGACATCTGCGACAAACAAACACCAACTCAGAAACCAACGTCGACGCTCTACCAATACCTAATCACAGATGAGCAGCAAGCAACTCGACGATACAAAGAAAAATGGGAAAGCATCACCGACAAAGTTTTCACCGACGCACAATGGGACAAAATTCTCATCCTTCACCACAAATCTACGATTAGCTCAAAATACCAAGAAATGAACTATAAGCTACTGACATTCTGGTACAGAACCCCAGACCTACTCCACAGAATATTCCCCAACACCTCGGCGACCTGTTGGAGATGTGAGGCAGATATTGGAACACTAAAACATATCTGGTGGGACTGCCCCAACATTAAACCGTTTTGGAACCAGATCACGTCCCGCATCAAAGAGGTACTAGGGGACACAACGCAATT